ATACTTTGAGGTAAATAGGAAAGATGTGTGGTTTTTTGCTTGTATTTTATGTAAAGGATGCACACAGAAGTACATCTCCCTGTTGTAACTCCGAATGATTTGCAGGAAGTGTTCTGAGTTATACTGACCCCCTGGACCAAACAGAAATTCACTGTTGGCTCCAGGGGGGAGAGGAATCTAACTGCTGGCTTTGAGCCTATAGCCAGTTTAGTCTAGCAACAGCCCCTCCTACCTGCCAGCCTGCTCTGCTTTCAGAATGGGAGGGGAGAAAGAGAGCAGATGAAACTTGTTCTAGGGGGTCCCCAGCTGTGCTGGAGGGTGGGGTGGGTGAATTGGAGCACACTTGCCTCGGAGTGGGGGCTCCAATACACCTGTCGCACTCTTCAGCAGAGGCTGAAACCCCCCCCGGACCAAACTCCTTCTGCTCCCTTTCCCCACTCCTATTCTGAAAACAGCTTGGAGACTGGCAGGGAGGCAGACACAAACGTCTTCATCTGAACATTTTTGCCTGATCAACTATTTTTTAAGCAGTGTGCAGCTTTGTGTTTGATCATAGTTATAGACCACTTTCTGCGGTAAGATGGGTGAAAATTGTTGCTTCTGTCTGTGCCCAAAATGCTCATCTTCTTATTAGTATTTATTGTGACATCTGTTTATAGTAATATAATAATGTTAAGAATTCAGTCTTTAAACCGTGGTTGGAATGGGAATATTAAAGCTAATTTATTGAGCCCCTGGCTAGCAAATGATGGAATTTAATTTGTTCTTGACCAAATATAAAGGATTAATTTAAAATGGTTAAAATATATTTGAGGATCCCTCTTCAACAGCCACCCTGTCTGTGACTGACTTCATAAGCTACTTTTCCTGGATTGGCTTGAGACCTTTTGCTATTAAGTGAACTTTAAGCACTTCCATTACTGATCTTTTCTTCTTCTGCTTTCCTTTTCTTTCACCTATGTGTTCCCTTTGTGTTGGCAAAGGGAATAGAAATATTGAAAGCAAGTTTTCATAGGTATTTATACAAGTATTTGAACTATACTACTATTGTAGTTATATCAGAACAATGTATAGTAGGAGAATGGGATCCTACAGGTGTTGACTTTGTCCAAACAAATAGTAAGAAATAATCCCTGTCCTAAAGAGATGTCAGAAAAAGGATGGGCAAGTAAATGAACCAAAGGAAAAAGGAGTGTGTCTTGACGAAGGTCTTAAAGGTTAAAAGAAGAGAACCCAGATTTCTTAATTCCCCGTTCAGTGCCAGGCTATATGTACCAGGCCCTATAGATTATAGCCTTGACAGATGGAGGTTGTTTGGGCAGGGCAGCATTTAAGAGACTAACTCAGTCAGAGAGGCATAAGCTTTCATAGGTGACTGCCTCTCTACTTAACAGTATGTAACAGATCTTTAAATTTGGCAAAGTAAATTTAGGAAGTAAACAATTTTTGTTACTGGGATAGGACAGCTGGGAGTGTTGTTACAGAATCCCATTAAGTGCTGATTTGATTAGGTTTTTTTGGAAAGACCCCACATGTTTATGATCCTCTGTCTAACTGAAATTGGTTGGGGTACATCTCCTATCAGGACAGCTTTGAAAATTTTCTGGAGGATTTTTTGGTGTGTAAGTTTTTAACCATCGCACTCTGCAGGACTTCTGAGTTAATCAGCCAACCAGAGGTTTCCCTTTGTAAAGACATCATAGTGACCTAAATAAGAAATGGCTGGTTGGTTGGCAACCTCTGATGTTACCCTGAGGGAATCCCAGCAATACAGCCTGCCTTTCCATTCTGCAGGACAAAGAGCTGACATTACTTCTTGAAAGAAACTCTCTCCATTCAAATGGCAGCTGGAAAGGGAGACCTTGCCAGTTCCATGTTTTTGAGTATTCACAAACATACATTTTATGCAATAAAGGGAAGGAGGAGCTGCTGCTTATGAGTGTGCATCAACTGTTACTCTGTTGTCAGAGGAGCAACAGTTGTGGGGTGAGCCTATCAGTGAGCCTGTCAAGGGGCTCAGAGGGCTGTGGGAAACAAAAGAGCAGCTCCCTATCACCCCCTGGCTGGAGAGCACATGGTTTCATAGTTTCATAGTACGTAGGGTCAGAAGGGACCTGAGCAGATCATCAAATCTGACCCCCTGCCATGGCAGGAAAGAGTTCATCTTTGTAGTGACTTGGTAGTGTCCAACCAGGGCATGTATGCACACCCATATAGCAGTATTTAAAAACTGCCATGGGAAGCCAAGCTGCAACACTGCTCTCTACAGGCTTTGAGGAGGCCATCTGCTCTCCTTTCCTTCTTCTCAGAGGGTGGAAGGGATAGCAGAGAACCATGGGATGCTGGGAAGCTGAGATCTCCTTCTATAGCATTGCATATAACTGCTAGGGCTGTGTAAAGCTTCGGGTGCTGATTCGATTCAGAGGAGATTCGGCCTGATTCAGCGGCTGAATCTTTGAATCCAAATTGAATTGGGAGACCAGTAAAAAGTTCTGAATCAATTTGGAGCTCTCTGAATTGATCTGGAAAAGATTCAGAAAACTTTGGAGAGATTCAGAGATTCAGGCAGTCCCTACTCGCTGCTGCAGGGAGTTGGACCCAGACTCCATGCTGGTAAGTAGGGGGGTGAAGGAGGGGGGAGGGGACCATGAGGGGACCCCTGCCCAGCCCCATCCCCTGCCTGCTCTCTCAGCCCCCCTGAGTGCCGCCTGGCCCCCGCCTGTTCTCCCAACTCTTTCAATGACTGCCCTGCCTGGCCCCAGTGTCCCAGCTCTTACAAAAAAAAAAAAAAAAAAGCAAAAAAAGGCTGGCACTCACTGAGTCCTGTCAGGCCGGGGTGGGGGGGGGAGAGGGCTATCCCTGCTTCCCCACACAGCCCTGCACTGCGTGGGGAGCTCTGCCATGAGCCCCCATCCCCCACCCGCTCTCCCAGCCCTGTCGATAGCTGCCCTGCCCGGCCCCAGCATCCTGGCTCTTTAAAAAAAGAAAAGAAAAAAAGCCCCGCAGTCAGGGCCTCTGGGGGCTTGTGGCAGAGCCCCCTCATGCAATGTGGGGCAGTGGGGATTGCCCCCCTGCCTGGGCTTTTTTTTTTTTTTTTTTAAGGTGCTGGGATACTGGGGCCAGGTGGGGCAGCAATTGACGGGGCTGGGAGAGTGGGCAGGGAATGGGGCCTGTTTGATTCAGAGATTCGGCTGATTCAGCAGCGGCCAAGACTCCAAATCATATTCAGCTGAATCGATTCGGGACAGTGATTTGAATCACTAAATCGAATCACTTTCCCCTGAATCAGGCGAATCCGAATCAGAAGTGAATGCTAGCCGCTTCGCACAGACCTAATAACTGCTACCGCATTTCATCTGGTACCACAAAGGGAGTGTCTCTATAAACAAGTTCCTATTTAAAATGCACTTCTGCGATGGATCCACCATCTTTGTAGCATCACAAACTGCCTGAATATATGGACACTCACTTTTTGTACGGGCATTTTTAGCACTATGAAAGTAATGTGTGTCCAAGGCCTGAGTTAATACTGACTCTGCAATGAGCAGCACAAGTATTCCTAATCCTGTCTGATTCAATTCCTAGAGGATCTTCCTCCTGGGTTTTAACCTCCAGGGCAGTCGTGCTACCAGTCTAAGAGTTACGGCTGGGGTTGTATTCCTCTCTGATTATTCCTAGCTTCTGAAGTGGTCCCTGGGACCCACTGGAAGCTGGTATAGTTTGAAGGAAACTCTCCTGTCAAGAGAGAAACAGAGTGTTTAGGAGAGAATAGTATGCAAAAAATAGTACAGAGAGGTATATAAAAGTCAATGTGTTGCATAGCAGGCTCATAATGCAGAACTTCAAAACAAGGCTCTGCTTTCCTGTCTGAAGAAAATCCTCAGAAATCTATTCTGAGTTTTTATGTCTTCTAGGTATGGTGAAAGCTACTGTATTCATGCAGAGTATTTTTACATTTACGAGAGAGCAATTGTAAATGTAGGTTTTAAAATCTTATTAATGTAACTGATAATTTCTATTTTTCATATAAAGTGGCCCCCGGTGGTTTTAGATGCTGCTGTACCTGTAGTCTGTTGGAGTTGCAGCCAGGGAGCAGGGGGTGGGGCCAGCCCTCCTGGGCTGGAGCAGAAAGCAGAGCCCTGCTCAGAGTTGCAAAGCATCTGGGATTCTGGTTTAATTTAAACCAGGAAGGGGGCTGGGACAGACATTGCCGAAAGTGGTTTGACCCAAATTGGTTAACTCTGATACTACATTCACCAGATTTATCTTAAACCAGTTTCAGCCCTTTCAAACTGGTTTATATGCACTGAACATCTGTTCTGTTACAGGTTTAAGCCAGTTTCTGGTCACTTAAACTAGTTATTGTGTAATGTCTGTCCCTAGCCTAGGACAAAAATTATTAACTTAAAATGAAATGCATTA